AGTACGGGGCACCTGGGTGGCTCAGTCGGTTGAGTGTGCGACTTCAGCTCAGGTCATGATCTTGCGGTTCGTGAGTTCGAGCCCCGCGTCAGGCTCTGTGCTGACAGCTCAGTTCGAGTGTAAGGTCAAACACAGGCCAGCATTCTTTGACAGGTGTGTTTTCCTCCAGGGGCTGTGGCCACCAATTTACAGTAAATTAGAGATTTCTGGGGCTGTCCCAATTCCTCTAAAAGTTTCAGGTCTACATAATCCTTTAGATCTTTTCTGACTTAAGTACTCTTTGGAAAACCCAAGTTTATGTCAACGCTGGTTGAAAATATTTAAACTGAATATATCGGTGGGCTCAAAACCCGCCTGGTCAAAGAAAACTCTGCCCTTGAGCCTTGACCTTGCTTCCTAAACTTTGGCCATTTGACTTGGCTTTGGTCTGAGACTGGGAATTATAAATCTTCAGATGGGGTAAAAAATATAAAAACGTATTCCTTCGGCTTGAATATATTCTACTTTGACTTTAAAGGGGTTTTCACAGAAGAACACACAATAACCATCTGTAGAAAGTACTTTCCTAGCATTGATCTAGTTTTTGGACCGGCACTTAGGTCTCCAGACAGGCTGGGTCTGGGGTGTGAACTGAAGCCAGCACGCGTTTTAGCATCAAGGAGACCTGGCTCTGGGGCCCCTGGTGGCTCAGTTGGTTGAGTGTCTGACTTCAGCTCAGGTCATGATCTCACGGTTCATGGGTTTGAGCTCTGCTCTGGGCTCTGTGCTGACAGTCCAGAGCCTGCTTCGGATTCTCCCTCTCTCTCTGCCCCTCCCCCACACCCCTCAAAAATAAATAAACATTAAAAAACAAGACCTGCCTCAGCTGTTTTCACTCACAGCGTGTCCTTAGGCAAGTTCCCTCCGGATCTCAGTTCTTGCCCGGAGGATGGGGAGACTGTCTCCCTTGCAGGGCTCCAAGAAGATTAAATGAGGTAATATAGGAAGGGCATCCAGTATGAGCACCAGGATGCAGCAGATGCTTAAAAACTGATGGCATCTCTGGGGCCCCTGGGTGGCTTGGTTGTGTGTCAGACTCTTGATTTCAGCTCAGGTCATGATCCCAGGTGTGTGTTTGTGGGAGTGGGATCGAGCTGAGTGTGGAGCCTGCCTGGAGCCTTCTCTCTCTGCACGCCCCCCGCCCTTGCTCACACACACTCTAAGATAAAAAAAACCCAATGCCATTTCTGCTATTTAGCTGCCACCAGTATTCCTATTACTGCTGCCACAAAACAATCACTATTATTGCCCCTATGGCTCCTTTTCCCCTCTAAGCTCTTTGAAGGCCCCAAATCCAGTAATTCTCTTCTGTTACAAGAATAGTTGCCCCATCTTCAATCAGGTATAACCTTTGATTAGTGAATATTATGATAAAACCACAAAAGGGTTTGTCTTGGGCGGATGGTGCCTATGTTTCCTCGATGTCCAGCCCAAAAGGACCACAGAAAAGAGATGAACTATGGGATCTCTTTAACCGTCAGCCACATGAGCCACAACTGTAACCTGTCAAGGGAAAAATCATGTTTATTATTTCATTCTGTCCCAGGCAGAGCCAGAGAGGATTTTAAATTTTAGGTCAATGATTACTCTGGGCTTCACAGTTGTGGTTGTTGGCTATGGGCCGGTAGTTACTTATCTGCAATTGTGCCTGAAGAATACAAGGGACGCATGGCTGGCTCAGTCAGTGGAGCGTGTGACTCTTGATCTGGGGGGTCGTGAGTTCAAGCCCCATGTTGGATATGGAGATTATTTACAAATGAAGTCTCAAAAAAACCCACACACAACACTAGAGCAGGGCAAGAGGTTTTGATATGAATTATTTAGCCTCTAGGCCCAAAGTTTACTTCTCTAGCAGTCAATTTAAAAAAAAAAAAACAAGGTTAGAAATACCTAGGAAATGTTAAGACTGAGGGGGTGTGTGGACTTCATCACAAAGTGGCAAATGCCCAAAAGAACGGGCGCCTCTTGCGACCACTGCTTGGAAATCAGTCCAATACAGACTGGGTGCCACAGGCCAGGACGAGGGAGTTGGGAAAGTCTGCTGGGAACGGCCAAAGTCACAACCACTGGACCACAGGTGGCTGCGGAGCTTTCTCAGACGTGACTCAAGGTTTCAATTTTAACGCACTCATTGCTGTTCCAACCACAGGACTTCACTCTGGCTCTTTGGGCTCGAGCTTCTTAAGCCTCGGACACTTTTTACAGGCCAGGCAGCATCGGTATTGCCTCCCAGCTGATGTGCCAAATGGTCCACTTTGTACTGGTCTGCAGTTAACGTCGGGCAAATGGCAATAAATACTTTATGATTTAGGGCTGGGGAAAATTTAAAAATATACTGTATTAGGGGCGCCTGGGTGGCTCAGTCGGTTAAGCGTCCACTTCGGCTCAGGTCATGAATCTCGCGGTTCGTGGGTTCGAGCCCCGCATCAGGCTCTGTGCTGACAGCTCAGAGCCTGGAGCCTGCTTTGGATTCTGTGTCTCCCTCTGTCTCTGCCCTTCCCCTGCTCACACTCTCTCTCAAAAATAAATAAACATTAAAAAAAATTAGAAAAAAAATACCGTATAAGAACATTCTCGGAACTTACTTTATGCCTGGAGTTTATGCCTGTGCCAAGTGCTGGGGTTGCAGCAATGAGTTAACTCGGCAAGGTCAGAGTCCACCTTGCGTAGGGACCCGGTTTAGTTGGAAACTCCCACTGTACACTTCATAAAAGTCTCCAGATTAACTTTCAACCCAATCCACCCCTTCCAAGCAGCGCAGTCCAGCAAAATTTTCCATAATGGCGGAACTTATTTCTATACTGATGGAACCTTCTGTGTCTGTTCCGTCCAACCTGTGTGTGTGTGGCTAGTGGCTACCATCTTGAATGGTGTTGTCTCAGAGAACCAACTGTGGAAAAATTCACGAGTGGCATTTGCAGTATCTACTTAAGCAGACAATATCGGTCTTCACCTGAGTAGAATTCTCTGTGTGGAAATCTCTTCTCTCTAGGTTTCAGGGCAAGATTTGTGGCTCTCCTACCTTTATTCTTTTTTAAAATTTTTTCTTTTTTTTTTAAATGTTCATTTAGGGGCGCCTGGGTGGCGCAGTCGGTTAAGCATCTGACTTCAGCCAGGTCACGATCTCGCGGTCCGTGAGTTCGAGCCCTGCGTCGGGCTCTGGGCTGATGGCTCAGAGCCTGGAGCCTGTTTCCGATTCTGTGTCTCCCTCTCTCTCTGCCCCTCCCCCGTTCATGCTCTGTCTCTCTCTGTCCCAAAAATAAATAAAAAACGTTGAAAAAAAATTTAAAAAAAAATAAAAAATAAATGTTCATTTATCTCCAAGGGAGGGAGAAAGGGAGGGAGAGACAGAGTGTGAGCAGGGGAGGGGCAGAGATAGAGGGAGACACAGAATCCAAAGCAGGCTCCAGGCTCTGAGCTGTCAGCACAGAGCCCGATGCGGGGCTTGAACTCATGAACTGCGAGACATGACCTGAGCAGATGTCAGAAGTTTAACCAACTGAGCCACCCAGGTGCCCCTCTCTTCCTCCCTTTCTGTTCCTTCTTGGTCTCCCTGTTGGTTCTCCCCTCTCTGCCTGCCTCTAATGTGAGGATTTTCTAAGGCTCAGTTCTTAGTCCTTCTCTTTTCTGCACAAACCTTCCCTATGTAATGCCCTCCTAACCATCTCAACATCTCCTGAGGGCTCACTACATATACACCATTCTAAGCATTTTGTATTTGTATGCACTGACTTAATTACCACCACTTGCATAAAATGTAGGTACTCTTATTATCCTCATTTTATAGGTGAGGAAATAGAAGCTTAGAGAATTCAAGTAACTTGGCCAAGGTCACAGCTAATCATGGTGAAGCTGAGACTCGAACACGGATGACTGACTCACTCGTGACCCATGTGCTTGGTGACCACCCTCCAGGTGATGAGTCCGACTTCCTCATCTGCAGTCAAGACCACATTTCTCACTGTAGAGCTCTACCTGGATGTCTTAAAGGCATTTCAAATTCAATGTGACAAACAGCATAAGCTCTTTATCTTCCCACCGACACTTTTCTTCCACTAGTGCTTGTTCTGGTGAGTGCCATTCGTCAGTCCAGAAGCATCCACCAACCCTGGAGGTCATCCTAACCTTCCCCCGTCCCTCACTCTGAATCCACTGATGCCCCTTGAATTTGGAAGCCCTTCTCCATCCCCAGGGCCAGTGCCTGGATGGAGGCCTTTTAATTCCTTACTTGGACTCCTGTGGTGGTCTCCTAGCTAGTCCTCCAGCTAACTCCTGTCCATCCACCCAGTCTACCCACCATATCACCAAGTTAGCTTTTACAAAATGCAAATCTGCCCATATTATGAAAGACTGAGCCCCTCCATGAGCGCCTCGCACAAAGCCTTTCATGAGATGATCCCTGTCCACTCGTTTCTCTGTGTTCTCCACATTGTTCTCTTTATGTAGCCACATCCAATAGTCTGAACTCTGTAACTAGGCCATGGTTACATCACGAACCCCTGTACATGCTAGTCCTTTTATCCCAAGTGCTCTTAGGTTCCTTCTCCTACTAAATTCTTACTCCTCTTCTAAGACTTAGCTAAGCTTTTTCCTCTTCCAGAAAGCCTCTCCTCACCTTCCCTTCCTTCCTTGGTGACTTCTGTGTCCCCTGAGACCTCCATTAGAGCCCTTATTACACCACTCAGCATTTATTTAGATATCTATCTCCCTTACCTACTGGGGACCCCCTGAAAGCAGGGCCTGGCCCTTATTCAATCTTGAATCCTTGGCACCTACTGTGTGCCTAGCACCTAGTGGGTGCACTGAACTGAGAACAGTGATACCTTTGGGTATTCAAACCCTGAAGCAGAAACCTTCCACACTACGATTCCACTTCTGGTAATGTGTTTAATCTTGGGAAGGGACTTTAGACCAAGAAAATCAATCCACCAGTGGACCACTCGTGAGCTCCCTTCAGATGACTTTCACCTGCCACAATTCCAGTAACAGAAATGAAAGTAAGTGTGGCCTTGCGCCCTACCTGATAGTGATGATCTGCCCGATGCCCAAGTCCAGGTCATTCAACTGTGCGATAAACACAGCCGCCACCGCTTCGTAGAGCGCAGTCCCATCCATGTTGATGGTAGCCCCGACGGGCAGCACAAACCTAGTGATCCTCTTGTCCACCTGGTTCTTTTCTTCGGCACAGCGGAAAGTGACAGGCAGTGTGGCCGAACTGTGTGATAAAAAGAGAAAGGGGTCGGGGTGCCTGGGTGGCTCAGCCGGTTGAGCGTCCGACTTCGGCTCAGGTCACGATCTCACGGTCTCACGGTTTGTGAGTTTGAGTCCTGTGTTGGGCTCTGTGCTGACAGCTCAGAGCCTGGAGCCTGCTTTGAATTCTGTGTCTGCCTCTCTCTCTGCTCCTGCCCTGCTCACACGCTCTCTCTCTCAAAAATAAACAAAAATTAAAAAAAATTAAAAAAAGAGAAAAAGGAACGTATGGTCTAGGAATGCTGGTGCTCAATCCCTGCCTGAAGAGACGCTTCTATTCCCGAAACTAAACCAAGAGCCCAAAGCATGCTGGCACTCTGGGCAGGTCCAGGAGTGGGAACGTGCTGTGTCCGCCATTCTCTGAGTTACACCATAACCCCCTTCTGGGCTGCAGGCCATGCCATGAGGGCAGGGAATATGCAGTAGGGTGAAGCAATATGCTCCAGGATGCGCAGGGGGGGAAGACAGAGGTCCTTCCTGGAGTTAAACCTAGCTACAGAAGCACAAGCTGTGGCCGGTGCTTGGTCAGCTTCACAAGTGGCCCGTACAGCTCTCAGCCGCAGCCAGTAAGAGCTGATTAGTCTCTGCAGCCCAGAGACTTCCTCCAGACACTCCTCGTACGCTTACCTGGAAGAGATCATGAGAGCCGTCAGAAGAGCCTGGGCCATTCCCATGGCGAACCGGAAAGGGTTCTTCCGAACGACTATGAAATAGATCAGCGGGAGAATGACGATGGAGTGGATTGCCAGCCTGGAAACAAGTCAAAGAAGCAGGTTCTTAGACGACACCACCTCCTCATATTAATCCTTTTTTCAAACAGCTTTTTTACTCATGATATATCATTTGATTTTCATTATAACCCAAAAGAAAATGAGAGGTAGGGCAGGTCTCCATTCCGGCAGTGAGGGTGAGGACATTCACTTAGCAAACGAAGTATCTTGTCAAAGTCGGCGGTGAAGCCAGTAGCTGAATCCACATTTCAGAGCTCACACAACACTTACATCATGCCGCCAAGCTTTGTACACGCTATTTCTGCCAACAGATGCTAAAATGCTTTCACCTGCTGCTGCTGCTGAATTCTTATCCCTCCTCTAAGACTCAGCAAAAGGTCCCCCTCCTCCAGGAAGCCTTCCTTTACCTTCCCAGGTTGGGCAGACCCTTTCCTCTGTTGTAGGTCTGTGGCTCTGCACAAACCTCTACCATAGGCCCTTATCATAGCACTCAGCCCGTCTGTTCCCTGGACCACTGCTGTCCTGCTGGATGGTGCCCACCATCTAGTAGGCCAGGCAGGCTGTGGTGAGGAGGAAGTCCCTGCTCTCCTCCAGTCATACTGGTGGAGTCTCCTTCCACCTACTTCAGGACTGACCCTCTTTTCTTTGTTATTCTTGCCTTCCAAAACTATTCCTTATTTCACACTGAGATATATAGGTTACACAAAACAGGGGGCTTAAAAAATGAGACCAATCCAGCAGATGCCATATAGTGTCCACGTAAAGGGTTTACAGATCAGTTATTCAAAGCTGAAACAATAAGAAATGATCATTGTTAATACAGATCCTGAAGGTCCATCTTGAGGGTCTTCACATAGAGCTTGTGGCTAAGAACTATGAGAAGCTGAGTCTTCTGTTAAAAACCAAGGTAGGGCAAGAGAACAGAAACCAGAACTGTGTTAGAAAATGGCTCAGTATAATAAAACTCGGCCAAATGACTGCCTGGACCCAGGCCCTGTCCTCGAGAAGGGTAGATGGCCCTGATGCCTTACCACTGAGGCCCTGAGATTTGACAATGGCCCTCACATTGGAGGAACCCAGGCTTCTTCTTGCTGGCTGGCAGGACGGTGCTTTTGGCAAAGACAGATAAGCTCCCCAGTGCACCTGCCTTCCAGCGGGTGAGCTCATTGCTCAAGTTGGGCGTCTGGGGGCTACTGACCTGTGCGAGTCAAACTGATCATACTTATTCATTCCCTTGGTCCATGTTGCTTAACACCTGTGACGAATCCTGTCCCTGCTAGATATCCGGGGCCAGCATTCCTAACTTATCCACCATACCTGCCCTTAAGGAGCCAATGACTGGGCTGCAATAGATATGCAAACGACCTGTCCCCTGCTGCCTTCCAGCTTTTACACAGTACCTCCCAGCTGGAAGAGTTTCCCAGAATGCTCCCTGACACTTGGATGATGCATGGTGTGGCAGTGGTGCCCGGCCCCACCTGCAGGGCTGGGACCAACCAGCCATCCCTTCCGACTGGCTCAAGTCTCCTTCCACCTAGGCCCTGCCTAATGTCTTTCTTGGGGTTGGGGTACCTGTGGGCCATTCCTACTAGTTTGGTGAGTTTCCATCCTTGAAGAAGTGAACGCCAAGAGAGGCTACCAGTGGGTCTTGCTCATTTTAAAAAATGATTTTAACACAACTAATAAAGGCAGCAACAAACCATGGTCCAGGCTGTTCTGCCGAGATCTGGCAAGTAGCACAGTGGGATCCTCCTCCAGTACAGCTGTTAAAGGGCAGCCCTCCTCCCCCTGCTCTCTTATCTCTCAACCATCTTTCCCTGCACAGGGGAGAAGCTGATTTTAACCAAAAGGCAGCTTCTCGGCACCAGTCCGTTGGCCCAAAAGAAGTTGGCTGCTTCCTCCCTGGAGTCGGACGTACCCACTCAGGACGGTGGCCATGTAAAGGCCCAGCTTGCGGAATATTTCCCAGTCTTCAACCTCTATGATCTTCCCGGCAATCAGGAACAAAATGCCAAGTGGCATGTAACTAGAAAGCAAGCATAGCAAAGACACTTCTGTCATCTGGTGTCTTTTCAAGGTGGGATCGCTGGGGAGGAAATGGGCCAGGGCACACACCTTGGCCTGGCACGTGTGCTCAGCTGGGAAGCACACCTGCTACACGATAAAGCCAAGGTTTCGGCCTCAGGCCCTGGTGGACCCCTGGCGCCAGGTTTCAGCACCCGCACATGTGTCTTAAATCCTACCCACCTCAGCCACCCTAGATGAGCAGACTCGGCAAGAACGTGTGGTTAAATGAGTGCATAGCCCATGCCTCACTCCCGGTACACATACGTCCTGCTAACAGTCACAACGGCAGATCTCATTTTTGCCTGATCCCCCATATATGGCCCCCATGCTCTTCCTGGCCTCAGTCATCTTGTTCCCCAGGAGGCAGTGTCAGCCACAGAGCAATATGATTAGTAGGAGAAGTGGTCAGAACAGCCCTGTTTGCGGAGCTCTCATTACGTGCCTTGTATTGGGTTAAGTATTTGACGTGCATCATTTCCCTTGATGCACTTCTCCCAAATCTAGGGGCAGATTTCTATTATCCTTTTTTGCAGATGATGAAGGTGAGGTTCAGCGGGAGTAAGTGGCTGAAATCACGAAACCCTTTGAGTCACTGTCACTGTCTACACTTCAGAGTCCATAATGTTGAAACAACTCAAAATAAGTGGGGCAGGGATCACCTAGAAAAGTTGGAGTTTGGCATCTCCAGGGACAGGGTGATGCCACTGGTATGCTGATCCAAATGGTAGTTTTCATCTGGATGGATTAGGCCTGTGCTGTACCAGTAGCAAGAATTTTGAACATCACTTATGCACGGGGCCTAACAAGGAAAGCACCTTGTGTTGTGATGTGCAAAGAACCCTTTCAAATCTTTAATTAAAGAAAAATTTTAAAAATATTTATTCTTGAGAGAGAGACAGAGTGTGAGTGGGGGAGGGTCAGAGAGAGAGGGAAACACAGAATCCAAAGCAGGCTGTCAGCACAGAGCCTGATGCGGGGCTCTAACCCACAAACTATGAGAGCATGACCTGAGCTGAAGCTGGACACTTAACTGAGCCATCCAGGCGCCCCTCAAATCCTTAATTTAAGAGTTATTTCTTAGAGGGACGCCTGGGTGGCTCAATTGGTTAAGCATCTGACTGTTGATTTCAGCTCAGGTCATGATCTCACGGTTTGTGAGTTCGAGCCCCATGTGGGGCCCTGTGCTGACAGCATGGAGCCTGCTTGGGATTCCCTCTCTCCCTCTCTTCCCCACCCTCACTCTCTCTCTCTGAAAATAAATTAATTAAAAAAGAGTTATTTTCTTAGGTGAATGCTGGTTGGGTTTAAGACGATCAAGGGCTTTGCCAGAAAAGACAATAGCTAAAACCTAGATTCTTGTTAGTGAACTAACTCCTATGTAATACGCATAGTTACTGAATGCTCTAGTGTCTTGATATTCTATGTTCACCCTTCCTAGGCATCTTTACTCCAATTGTGAGGGGGCAACTGTCAGGAGAAGCAGGATGGCATTAACAGGCATCTGCTCACCACATAATGATCTGGACGATTTTCATGGTTGCATCACTCAGAGCAGTGAAGAAATCCACCAGAATCTGTCCTTTCTCTCCCATTTTTCCAATGACAAGTCCAAAGACGAGGCAAAAGACAATCAAGCCCAGGACGTTTATGCCGTCTGAATACATGCCTACGACTTTGTATTCCTTTGTTTTGTTCTGTGGGTCAAAACCAAGAGAATATACGGATGCGTGATTAGAATGCTGTTGGAAAGCAGAGGCCCCGAAATGGAAAGATACCACGGCCACACCTACTAAACTAGTGATCCACCAAAGGCCACCATACTTGGGGACAAAAAGAAAAAAAAAAACAACCCAAGTTTTCACTGCCCCCACCATCTGCCGCTGAACTTTAAAGTGATTTTTTTTTCTCTTTCTCTCTCAAAAAATCCAAACTTAAAGATTTCTTTTGAAGATGTCTTATTCTGGGATGTCTTATATTAAAAAATTTTTTTTTAATGTTTATTCATTTTTTAGAGAGAGAGAGACAAACAGAGCACAACCGGGGGAGGGGCAGAGACAGAGGGAGACAGAATCTTAAGCAGGCTCCAGGCTCTGAGCTGTCAGCATGGAGCCTCATGTGGGGCTCGAACCAACTGGGATATCTTACATTTTTAATAAGAACTGTAGATATGAGGTGCTTTTCAGAGTTATTCTAACTACTAGCTACATTTGGAGTCTGCGTGAAAAAGAGAGGAATTAATAATGCAGGAACTGCAAAATATTTAACAGGGTGAACATTTTTAGGACATTTTACTATCTGTTGTATCATGATAGTAAAACACAGGCGCATTCTTTACCGCCTCTGATCCTGGATGACCAACGGGATTGTAGAGATATAAATATTAACCAAATACCAGCTACTATAAGCCATTTCGTTATCTTATCCTGAGTAAGAACAGCATGAGATATGCTGAGACACAACCTCATCTGAGTGGTGCAGCATGAGATTTCACTGAGAGATTTCACAGGGAGATAACGTGATCGGAGTGCCGCAAGCCAGGTTTATAATGTATCATATATGGTTGATGAGTTACCGGGGTGCCATTTTTTACTTATCATCTGATATGCTCAAACTCATATTTATCGAGCAGCTAGAGTGTGCTGACTGCATTGGTGACTTAGAAGTCTTAAAATACAGCTAGACAGATAAGATTAACCGTGAGAAAAACAAACCAATGGTAGTGGGAGGGTGTGTAACTAACTGCGCGGTCAAGTTACAGGCCTCGGTGGAGACTGACTGGGGGCACCGGCGGTTAGGGAAAGCTAAGCCTGAGCGGTAGGGGCAGCCAAGAGATGAAGGCCAACACCAGAAACATGGCATAAGCAGAGGCCAAAGTCATCCCCAGGCCGCTGCACCCTACCTGGAGAATTCCACTCATGCTTTATGGCCCCCAAACTAATTTAAGCCTCTCTGTTGAAAGCCCTGGAGTAAGCACCCTGTGCTTCCCTATTGCAATGCTCATCCCTCGTCACGTGAGGGCACAAGCCTTGTCTGTCTTCGTACCACTGTCATCCCGATGCCCAGCAGGGCCTGGCTCACAGGGAGTGCTCAAAAAAATCTTTTCGGAACCACGTGGAAAGGCAGGAATAAGGAGTAACTGAGGAGGTGGGTCTGGATGGGAAAGAGAAAGGGCCACTGGGAAGGGAGCCGGGAAACCAGGGAGGAGCCCGGCCATGGAGGGCCACAGAGCCAGTCGGAGGACTTAATGTTTCCTGCAGCAGGAAGCTGGAGCCAACCGTGGTCTCTCTGATTTGAACCAAGTCTACCAAACATTTCTTTCTTCCTTAAATCGTTCCCTTCTGGGTGGGGGCAGAGAACGCTCAGCAGAGACCTTCTCTAGGACTACAGATTTACTGCTTCGGGCCCACACAGTCTCATCTCCAAAGCTGAAATGCCGACCGCTCTCAAAACCTAATGGATTTTATTCATAATTGGATGGCGAACTCCTGGTGGCAGAACTGAGGTGAGGCTGCTTGTGGTTTATTCCTCTTTACCTGGCAGGGCATTCTGCTGCAGGCATACTGGCGTCCTCTGTCCTGGAGAGGGTGCTTCCCAACCCCACTGAACTGAGTTGCATGACACACAGTGCCTGCGCTGCATGGCCCGTCGAGGGTGGAAAACTCCGGACCCCGAATCACATCTGGGCGGAGAGTTTTGGAGAAGCAACGTGGCCTTGTATTCTATATTTAGGTGGTCTTGCAACTCTAAAGCAAGAGGTGCCCAACTCAACTCAATGGAGTAGTGGAGGGTGTAGACGCAATGGGGCTCACCCTCTTCTCTGGGTGGTTCAGATGCTTCTCGTAATGCCTGGGGGTTATGTTTTACAAAGTGCCACCCACCAACATTGAGTTAGCAAATACTGAATCCTTGCTCCCAGGGGAAATACAAGGTCAGGTTCTGGGGAACCAGGGTTCACAACATTTTCATCAGATAATCAGCATATAACCTTGCTGTAGGTGTGTTTCTGTTCAGAAACACATGAATATGTAATGTGTATTACTGAGTCGTTAACACTGAAGTCACAACCGACACCCTCGGCCTGAATGAAGCTGATCTAACACATATATAATTTTCCACACGGGACACTACAGCCTTCTCGCCCTCAGAACCACCGACAACACTGCAACATTATGCTTGGGGGATGTTTTAAACAGTAAAATCACCATGAAAAAGCACAGAGACATGAAAAATGTGGCATAAACATGCTACTCAAAGGACACTTGTTTACAATGAGAGCTGAAACAAGAAGGCAGAGCTTGGGGTGCCTGGATGGCTCCGTTGGTGGAGCATGTGACTCTTGATTTCAGGGTTGTGAGTTCAAGCCCCACATTGGGTGTGGAATAAAAACCAGGTAAAAAAAAGGGCTTAGCCTTGTTCAGCCTCAGAGGGCCATGTGTGCATTGGGCGACTTAAACTTTTCACCGCTCTTTGTCCGCAAATGACGTGAGAGCGTTGTGTTGATTCTGGGGTGGCAAACACATTTTAGTGAGAAGACGAATTCGCAAGTAATGAGGACAGACTGTATCTCCGTCTCCTGCTTGCTCCATGACTCAGCGCCTGCCTGGGGGGGGGGGAAGGGGCGCGGGCAACAAGGTACCTTGGAAATGGCAGTTGTCATGATGGCTGTGACAGATGCTTGGGTCATGTTCATCCCGGGCTCACTGGGAGTATTCACTTCTTCACGCTTGGTTTTATACTGCACATTGGAGGGGAAAAAAAGACCAAAGAAACAAACAAAATAAGAGTTTTTCAAGCACCTGAGTCTAAACCATGGGAATATGTGACTCTGGCTAACTGAGTGCTACTGAAGCCTTCTGCCTCTGTCACCTCTCTCGGTTGCAGATTTTGATAGTACCTCCCATGAGGCTTGGGAAGCCAAAGTGAGACCATAAAATCCAAACCTTGATTCCCATGGCCACCATTCAGTGATGTCAGAATGTTGTCTTTCATAGTAAAAGATTAACAGGGCGACAATGGGAAAGAAAGTTTGGGTTGTTGTTTTCTTAAATGTTTGTTTATTTATTTTTGAGAGAGACAGAGCACGAGCAGGGGAAGGGCAGAGAGAGAGGGAGACACAGTGTGAAGCAGGTTCCAGGCTCTGAGCTGTCAGCACAGAGCCCGATGCAGGGGCTGGGGAATACAAACAGAGAGATCATGACCTGAGCCAAAGCAGGAAGCTTAACTGACTCAGCCACCCAGGTGCCCCAAAAGTACAGGTTTTATTTGGAGGCGCTTTGACAGACAGACTCTTACAGCGATCTTATCAATCATTTTCTTTCTATTTGTTTATTCATTTCTCATTTTTAATCTGGGAGGAACACCTCATTACTTGGGTAACTGTAGTCACCCTGACTTTAATAAACGTCAAGAAGTAGATGGTTGTTCCAGCAGCAACAGTCCCTTTAGGGCTAGTCCATGAGTGAGATTTCTATTGAATTCCCTTCCTTCGGCTCTGTTTGGTCCTGCAAGGCTTCAGCAGAGAGGTTTAAGAAAGAGCTAGTATACCACAACACCAGGCATAAATGTCACTCCTTCGAGGCACTGCCAACATCAAGAACCTTACAAATGACCACTGTGGCTGAGCCGCAAAGGCACCCTTGAAATAGAGGTGGTTCTGTGCCTCTTGGACGTCGGCAGGGGGCAACTTCATTGCCATTTTTGTTGGTACACACAGAGGTCTCTGTTCATGTAATTTATGTAAATGAATTCGGCAGTTTGTGATAGACTCAGCTGTCTTAAGTGCACAGATAAACAAGAGAAAAGAGCTGTAAGGAAATGGGAGTGAAGAGATTGTTCAACTTTCCTAGAGAAAAAAAATCACGGCTTTGTTACATTGCTGGGGAGCCGGAGGGTCAGCAACGGGTGCGTAGTGATTAAGGAAAAGACTGAACACCGGGAACACCCACCACCCGTGTGGGTTAGATACCACTCTCCCAACATGAGGGAGAAAGGAACAGGGAGTCGGAGGGTTGCTTTTTCAGTGCCTGCATCTGGAGACAGTCTAAGCGTCTCCACAAATATCACGTGGTTCTCAAAAACACAGGCACAAGAGCCCACATTTTTAAACACTCTTTGTTCGATGGGTTCCTGATGGCTTCATCTGAGCTCTCTTGGGGACAAGAACGTGTCACGGAAAGGGAGCAGCGGGGTCAGTAACAACAGGGACTTCTCTGGGACCTGAAGCCCAGAGGCATCTGCGATTTGCTCCACACTCACACTCGAGGGTGGGTTTCCTGCCATTTTTGATGTCCTCATTCCACTTCCTGGGTCACAGCAGGGAACAACGATTCTAATCAGTAAAGCGAAGAGTACAGCAATCTGAAGGCAAAAGTCGTTCTTCTTACCTGCTGAAAACAGGCTTGGACAAGGTTCTCCGGGAACATATTCCTGTTGGAGACATGAAAAACAGTGTCACGTTACAGCACAAGTGTTTTGTTTTTGTCACACCCAACGCATGGGTGAAGGTGAGCAGAATATAGAATCAGTACTCTGGTTCCTCTTCTGGTTTCTCCTTTGCAAAATACTTCCTTGTATTAAGATTTTTTTCCCCCGCTGAGCTTCAACCGAGTCTAGAAGGTTCCCTCACACAACCATCACTCAGCTGAGTCACTGAGTAATTGGTACGCTCACTGTCCTCGGTGAAACAACGCATTGGCAGGTGGACACTCCCAGTCAAGAGACTCCTTTAATATTCTGTACGCTTCTGTTTTCATTGACGAGAAAGTATGCCTACCGAGAGTCCGTGGCATCTGTTCCCAAATTCTTTATGCCAAATGAGAATATCAGCATAATGACTGAATTAAAAATGATGTGAGTCAGTGAAATGGGAGTGATATGGAAGGTGTGGTTTCTCATCAAAACTAAACTCAATGCTTGGAAACTCGACCGAAGCCAGTGACTAAAATTTCTGTGGGTAAATTAGGTAAGGGGCGTCCACAGAAATGGAAAGAACAACTGGCAGGATGTGGCACTCAGCATTCTTTATAGTTTCTAAGGATTTTGTTGTGTACTTCGTGAAAACTGAACCTGGAAATTGTATACCATGCCTTTACAAGCACAACAGGTGCAAGAAAAATGATACAGAATCACAATCAACTGACACGCTCAAAGAAAAGATTTTGGCCCTACATCAAAAACTGGCAAACACATTTAAATTTTGTGTCTACAAAATATGTAATGTGTACCTGTGTCATTTTTTAACGATTCTCTGCTCTGCTATCTTAAAAGTAACTGACCAATTCCCAGCCCTGATTGCTTCTGAGAAGAGGGCTTCTCCGGTGCAATTAAAAAATGTATTTCTTGGGGCACCTGGGTGGCTCAGTCGGTTAAGCGTCTGACTTCAGCTCAGGTCATGATCTTGCGGTTCATGGGTTTGAGACCCTTGTTGGGCTCTGTGCTGACAGCTCAGAGCCGGGAGCCTGCTTTGGATTCTGTGTCTCCCTCTCTCTCTGCCCCTCCCCTGCTCACACTCTGTCGCTCTCTCTTGAAAATAAATGTTAAAAAAAAAAGTTAAAAAAGAAGGTATTTCTTCAAGTGTGCTTCAGAGCTGACCCCCCAACGCAGCCCAGCATCTTAGTGCAATAAGTGTATTTTCTGCTTCTCTGTCCATCCTAAATCCTGACAGAGGAGACTCTCTTCCCACTCTTGGAACCATGGCTTGGCGAGCACGACTGGCTATGCAATTTTGAGGTCCAGGGCAAAATGAAAACACGCAATGATTCAAAAACTGTCGGCCATTTCAAGACAGCTACAGCAGTGCACTAAAGCAAGCTGTGGTCCTCTGTGGCCACAGTACCACAGGCGGCATGCCTAGGGGGCTGCCCCACTGGCAAAACACTCACCTGATCAGATCCAACATGGCATCCACCGTACTCACTTCAGGGCTGCTTCCTGTCCTGTCAATCTCATCCACTTTCTGGGTCACACCAGGCTTGATGCTCACCACCAGCACGATGCCTGCGGCCCAAGAGAGCACCACAGAGCATTAAGAACCTTCCAGAACACCTGGCACCCCTGGCGTAGGCTTCTTAGAACCAGTAGGCATAGTGGCACCAGGCAAAACCAGAAGGAGGACTCCACGGTCCGGCCAAGATGCCGAGCCTCAGCTGGGACCTCCAAGCAGCCTTGATTACTTTTCCATTTAAATGAAGAAGGAACTCTTCCCATTTTTTTTTTAATGTAAATGAAGAGGCTGCATTCCAGAATTGCTTCTGGAAACCCTTGCTGATGAGAACATTCTATTTTCTTTTCTTTAGCTTATGAGATCAGCCTAGGCAGGGGTTGGGGTGAGGGTGATTCATTTTCCAACTCAGTTCATTTTCAAGCCATTCAATATCTTTATGTAACTTTTATCCACAGATGCTGGTTATTTTCCAGAGGCTCATACAAAACAAGCCTTAACTTCCTTTCATACTACAAGCCTTCAGATATCTGGAAGGCTGTTGTGTAATCCAAAAAAGGGTTAGGGTTAAGAAAAATAGTGTTCCCTGTGACTCTCGGTGGGTGGAAGGAGGACAAACAGGTGTTACAGGGGGAGACAGTTCTTGCTGTAAGGCACTGTCTCAACGGGGGGGGGGGGGGGGGGGGTATCTGAGGGCACCATTTTGGCCCCTGGAGGTAATGGGTTCTTGCCCTCTGAGGTGTCCAAGCAGAGGTGGGAGGCTGGAGTACACCCCAAGTCATTAGAGGCTGCCTGACTGGAGGGGGTGAAGAAGAAAGTCTCTGTGTCCTTTATCACTCCTCCCAAGGGCAACGCCGATCCACAGTGGGCAGGGCATCAGGACCAGAGCAGGTAGGTTTCGCAGGTGGGAGGAGTCGGTGGGCAATACAAAGACAAGGTGGGTGTGGTCTCCTCTTTCCACTCAACCTGGCAGGAAAGACACACACCCGCTTTTTCCTTCATGTGCACTTCCCTCACGAACCTTCTGAGGAGGCGCGGCTTTGGTTTAAGGCAGGGTTCAGGCCCTCCCAGGTGCCCTGCCTACCAGCCCCACTGCCTCACCTCATCCCAACAGTCTCTTAATGGAGAGTGGCAGGGTCACGCGGCTGCAACATCTGAGTACAATCCAGTCCTCTCTTCCCACGCGGGACATCCTTAAAACGTCAGGTCACAAAGGATGGGCCGCACTCTCTTCGTAAAAGAATGCCAGAGGTCCGAGAGCAGCTATATTCCCTTATCAGAACGTTCTCCCTTTTTCAACTGGAATTTATACTTGGCAAGTTGCTGTGAGCTCTCACTACCATGTGCCATTTGAGATGCACTGAAATGTTATCTTTTTGGAAATACTTCATCATTAGACTCAACTCCACTATGACAGAAGCTCTTGGCTTCACTTCCTTCTAATAAAGGCACAGAACTGTCACCCTGTTTCTTACTAGGGACATTAATGAGCAGCACCACGGCTGAACTTGAGTCAGTATTACATTTTCTTCATAGAAAAGGTGTTGTGTAGACCTGAAGCCCAAAAGGTTCATGGTAATTTGACAATATTGCTTTCTGAATTACAAAAAAAAAAGTACATTTAAAAAAAAGCCCAACTACTTTTAAAGGGAGAGTCACAATTCTACAGAAGAATAAGGAATCAGAAATAGGTTTTACCTAGAATCACAGCAATGATCGTGGTACAGAAATAATAGACGACGGCACGTAGACCAATTTTCCCAGATACGCTGGAATCCAGGGCAGCAACACCTGCGAGGGGGGAGAAGACATTTTTGTCCATTTTTAATTTCATTTCAGAGTGAGAGAGAGAGAGAGAGAGAGAGAGAGTGAATGGGAGAGGGGCAGAGGGAGACAGAGAAGGAGAGAGGGAGACAGAATCTTAAGCAGGCTCCATGCCTAGCACAGAGCCTGACATGGGGCTCGATCCCACAACCCTGGGATCATGCTCTCAGCTGAAATCAAGAGTCAGACGCTCAACTGAGCCACCCAGAAGCCCCAAATTACGCTGATTTTTAAAAGACGGATTTCCAGGCCTGGTGGTCATTCAATCCTCAAGGTGTGAAATGAAGGGCTGAGGGCTGTCCTCTGCTATCTGCTAGGCCCATCTCGCATGAGACGCAACGGGCAAAGGAAGGGCTTCAAGATTGCCAACACAGAATGGAGACGGAAGAGGGGTGAGGTGCAGGCGCCCCTTCCCCATAATCCCGCTACCTCAGCCCGTGGCCAGTGCCTCGTGGGGCTGGTCACGAGACAGGAGCTCCCCTTCCGCATCCGCTCAGAGAATCTCGAGGATTGTACATCACATCACTCCACAGCCTTCAGGATAAACCCCTTCTGGAATTCAGTATCCAGAAAAAAACTTTATCTTGAAGAACGGAGAGTTCTTTCATCACGTAATGAATATTGTAAAACTCGTGATTGTTTCCCTTTCTGCCTTTTTTGCCAGGAAGCTCAGAGTCGGCCAAAAAGGTTAGCTTTTTAAAAGAAATGTTTATTTATTTTTGAGAGAGTGAGGAAGGGACAGAGAGAGAGGAGGACAGAGGATCTGAAGTGGGCTCTGTGCTGACAGCAGAGAGCCCGATGTGGGACTTGAACTCATGAACCACGAGGTCAGGACCTGAGCCACAGTTGGACACTTGACCAACTACACCATGCAGGCACCCAAGATAACTTTTATGGGTGACTATGAAAGTGATAATATATGTTTGATATAGTAGTCTGAAAAAAGGAAAATAAAAATCACTCCATTCCATCAGTCATAGTTGATATTCTGACAAATTTCCTGTCAATATTTTTTCTTTTTTGTAAACATAGCTGAGTGAATTCTACAGTTTTTGATCCTCTCTTAATACTGTATTATAAGCATTTTCTTATTACAAATTCTTCAGGAGGAATTTTAATGGCCACATAATCTTCTGTCCTGTGACTGTACCATAATGTATTTAATCATCCACTTACTGTTGGAGCTTTAAGATAGTCTCAGGGCCAACTTCAATACTAAATCACAGTACTTTCATTATTTATCCTGGCCAGCACATTTTCTCCTTCTTTTCATGATTTCCAAATTGCTTCTATGTTAACAACCTTACTGTGTATGGCTCTGATTATGAGACAACTTAAAATATCCATTTTAAAGAGGTAGGATATAAAAAAAATTTTTCCAATTTTTAAATTTCTTTTTTTTTAATTTTTTTTTCAACGTTTTTTATTTATTTTCGGGACAGAGAGAGACAGAGCATGAATGGGGGAGGGGCAGAGACAGAGGGAGACACAGAATCGGAAACAGGCTCCAGGCTCTGAGCCATCAGCCCAGAGCCTGACGTGGGGCTCGAACTCCCGGACCGCGAGATCGTGACCTGGCTGAAGTCGGACGCTTAACCGACTGCGCCACCCAGGCGCCCCCCCAATTTTTAAATTTCTAATTGAAGAGACCTAGGGCCACACTGTTAGCTGTAGTCTCAAATGGTGTTGGGTGGCCTATAAAATGACTGAATGTAGTCCGGAAGGGAAAAGGCTGTCTAGAATGCCAACCATAGCCCTAGAGGGGGAGGCACACATCCCTTCTTGCTAGAAACCCTTGCCTTCCATTGAAGATGCCCCTATAAATGGAGACAAATGACGCGGTTGACTGGATAGCTACTATGTGGAAGACAGGGTAAGTGAAGCAACCAGACCATCTTTCAGCACGCTGTCATTGGAAGGTTTCAGGGGCGCCTGGGTGGCTCAGTCGGTTAAGCGTCCAACTTGGGCTCAGGTCATGATCTCGCGGTCCGTGAGTTTAAGCCCACATCTGGCTCTAGGCTCTGTGCTCAGAGCCAGGAGCCTGCTTCGGATTCTGTGTCTCCCTCTCTCTCTCCCCCTGCCCCACTCACTCTCCCTCTCTCTCTCTCTCTCTCTAAAATAATAAACATTAAAAAAAAAATTATAAAAAAAAAAAGGGGAATGTTTCAGGCTCTACCCTGCCCTGTTTCCGAAACAAGAATCACATTATGAATCAAACAATCATCACAGAAAATGACTTCTTGAATCTTCAACACATGTGACTTGTGCCTTAACTGTTAGCAAAGCCTGAAGTGCAGGGTGGCGGGAAAGATGAGTTGTCGTGAGGCGACCCCAAGGAGAAGGTAGTAAACTGGGGGGGTTATGGCAGGCACAGGTGGCTTTTGTTTTCACTCCTCACACTATAAAAGCCTCGCCTATTTTTCTCAAGTCGGGCTTGTGCTTCTCACATATAATTGTACATAATCGATGTGCAGGACCAATCTGGAAGGAAGCTGGTCATCACCACGATGACAGGACAAATCGGCTCCCACTGCAAACACGCCATTCCTCTGGCTGCTGGTTGCTCCTCTGGAAGCTAATATTTTGAGAGAAGGGGTTCTGGCCAACTTAGCGAGCACCCCAGGATGTTGGAAGGGCCCATTCACCAGCCCCTGGGACAAGACTGTCACTCCCACGTGAGGGGCATATCGCAACAGACACATTCTAGAAAAAGCCCGATGCTAGATTCTATTCTCTCTCTCTGGGAAAAATGCACTCTGCTGTGCCGAGAAGACTTTCTTCTCCTTGTGGTAAGACGATTCAAAATAACGACTCTTCAAGAAATAGTAGCAATGACAACAACAATCAGGAGACACCAAAGGCCACAGAATGGACGATTTCCTATTTAGAGCTTCAGTCTCTTAAAAAAAAGGGCAAACAGGGGCGTCCAGGTGGTTCATTCAGTTAGGCGGCCGACTTCGGCTCAGGTCATGATCTCACGGTCCGTGGGTTCGTGCCCCGCGTCGGGCTCTGTGCTGACAGTTTAAAGCCTGAAGCCTGCTTAGGATTCTGTGTCTCCCTCTCTCTTGGCCCCTCCCCTGCTCGCACTCTGTCTCCCTCTCTCTCTCTCTCTCTCAAAAATAAAAAAACATTAAAAAAATTAAAAAAAAAGAGCAAACAATAATGCAAAATATGTAAGTTTGCTAAGTATATTCTATGAATATAAAACTGTGCTTGAATATTCCGTTTTAGAGCTCTGTGCATTATTTTCATAAACAATCAAAATAATTATTTATACCAATGGTTGATTTTAAAAAACAAAATCACCAATTCCACAAAACTCCACATAACCTGTACAAGCCCATGGAATCCTGGTCCAAGCGAGGATGTATTTTCAGATGTCTCGTCCTCGAGTCGATGTCTAAATTCAGCAGCTCCCAGCCCCCAAGGTACGGACAAGTGACAGGCTCAGAGGGCAGCTGCAGAACTGTTCTTGGGTATGTGTTTTGTGCCCTCTCGGGGTTTTCTTCCAGCAGTGAAACAAATTAAATCTATGTAGGTAATTGTTTCCAGCATATGCTAATATGTCTTAATTTGTCTTAATGATTTGGCCATGGGCTGCTGCCTCTGCTTCTATTCCAGGACCCAGCTGGCAATAAAAGGCTTCATAATAATGAGATTCTTGGTGGGAAGTATCTTAAACAAATACATCCCCTAAAGCAGTCTGCCAGCTCCCTTCTGCTGGAGGACAGCGATTGTATTGTAGTTACTTTGGGAAGGGCTTTACTTCCCGTTCCTCAAATCTACCTTAGTCCTATAATTCTCTGGACAGATCAGAGATGTAACTCAAGGGGCGCCTGGGGGGCTCAGTCGGCTAAGCGTCCGACTCGGGCTCAGGTCACGATCTTGCGGTTTGCAGTTTCGAGCCCCATGTCAGGCTCTGTGCTGACAGCTCGGAGCCTGGAGCCTGCTTTGGATTCTATGCCTCCCTCTCTCTCTGTCCCTCCCCCACTCATTCTCTCTCTCTCAAAACAAAAAACAAAAAATCACACATTAAAAAAAAAACAAAAACCAGAAATGTATTTGAACCAACAACTGTACTTCTGTACATCTTACCTCTAGAGTTACCCTTCTACCTCTCCAGCCATCACTGATGAGGGGCAGGGCTGGCCCCCCAATTCCAGGCCCTTGGACTATTTATCATGTGGTGCCAGGGGTAGAGGTGATGGGCTACCACAGAGGCTGGGAACATAAGCAGGGCAACAGCCTGTTTTGAAAACCTCCACAAGTCACCGGAACATTCCTGAACTTAACTTGAACATGGAAAGCTTGTCTGGATAGTCTATACACCCCACCTGCTAATAATAGCAATGATGCTGAGGCTTAATTCTAATCAAAATGACAGTGACCATACACACTGTGTCCTGCACAATGGGTACATGTGGAATGCTTCACCTCCTTTATCCCTCGCCATTTGGTGGGGACGCTGGGATCCCAATCCAGACTCGAACCCACAGGCCATATTCTTAACCACTCTCTCACAGTGGCTCTATCCACGTGCTGTGAAATTCTAGACCAGTGCTGCCTCACGGAACCATCATGGTGAAGTGCTTCCTCTTCATGCTTCTGTTGTAGCGACCACAAGCTACCTGCGGCAGGTGTGCTTGGGATCTGGCTAGTGTGGGGGCACCTGGGTAGCTCAGTCGTTAAGTGTCCGACGCATGATTGCGGCTTAGGTCACGATCTCACGGTTTGTGAGTTCGAGCCCCGCGTCAGGCTCTGCACGGACACTGTGGAGCCTGCTTGAGATTCTCTTTGTCCCTCTGTCTGTCCCTCCCCTGCTCATGCTTTTCTCTCTCAAAACAAATCAATAAAACCTAAAAAGAAAAAAAGA